GCTACTATCTTTTTTTCACAATTGTGCTTCAAAGTAGCACCATGATCTTCATGATAGAGAGTCTCCTATTTTGTCACTTTCATATACTAGTGGGAATTTTTCATTATAGAACTTGGCTTGTATATTCCAACAATGGGCCTCCTCAAGTGCCCTAGGTCTTCGTGAGCAAGCAAGTTGGATGCACACCCACTAGTTTCTTTTGTTGAGCTTTCATACATTTATAGCTCTAGTGCATCCGTTGCATGGCAATCCCTACTCCTTGCATTAACATCGATCGATGAGCATCTCCATAGCTCATTGATTAGCCTCGTTGATGTGAGACTTTCTTCTTTTTTGTCTTCTCCACATAACCCCCATCATTACACTCTATTCCACCCATAGTGCTATATCCATGGCTCACGCTCATGTATTGCGTGAAGATTTATAAAGTTTGAGATTACTAAAGTATGAAACAATTGTTTGGCTTGTCATCGGGGTTGTGCATGATGAGAGCATTCTTGCGTGACAAAAATGGAGCATGACTAAACTATATGATTTTGTAGGGATGAACTTTCTTTGGCCATGTTATTTTGAGAAGACATAATTGCTTATTTAGTATGCTTAAAGTATTATTATTTCTATGTCAATATTAAAATTTTGTCTTGATTCTTTCGGATCTGAATATACATGCCACAATTAAGAAAATTACATTGAAATTATGCCAAGTAGCATTCCACATCAAAAATTCTGTTTTTATCATTTACCTACTCGAGGACAAGTAGGAATTAAGCTTGGGGATGCTTGATACGTCTCCAACGTATCTATAATTTTTGATTGCTCCATGCTATATTATCTTATGTTTTGGACATTATTGGACTTTATTATCCACCTTTATATTATTTTTGGGACTAACCTATTAACCGGAGGCCCAGCCCAGAATTGCTGTTTTTTGCCTATTTTTGGGTTTCGAAGAAAAGGAATATCAAACGGAGTCCAAATGGAATGAAACATTCGGGAACGTGATTTTTGGAACGAAGATCCAGGAGACTTGGACCCTACGTCAAGCAACCAACAGGGAGGCCATGAGGTAGGGGGCGCGCCTACCCCCCAGGCGCGCCCTCCACCCTCGTGGGCCCCCTGTTGCTCCACCGACGTACTTCTTCCTCCTATATATACCTACGTACCCCCAAACGATCAGATACGGAGCCAAAACCCTAATTCCACCGCCGTAACTTTCTGTATCCACGAGATCCCATCTCGGGGCCTGTTCCGGAGCTCCGGAGGGGGCATCGATCACGGAGGGCTTCTACATCAACACCATAGCCCTTTCGATGAAGTGTGAGTAGTTTACCTCAGACCTTCGGGTCCATAGTTATTAGCTAGATGGCTTCTTCTCTCTTTTTGGATCTCAATACAAAGTTCTCCCCCTCTCTTATGGAGATCTATTCGATGTAATCTTCTTTTGCGGTGTGTTTGTTGAGACCAATGCATTGTGGGTTTATGATCAAGTTTATCTATGAACAATATTTGAATCTTCTTTGAATTCTTTTATGTATAATTGGTTATCTTTGCAAGTCTCTTCGAATTATCAGTTTGGTTTGGCCTACTAGATTGATCTTTCTTGCAATGGGAGAAGTGCTTAGTTTTGGGTTCAATCTTGCGGTGTCCTTTCCCAGTGACAGTAGGGGCAGCAAGGCACGTATTGTATTGTTGTCATCGAGGATAATAAGATGGGGTTTTTATCACATTGCATGAATTTATCCCTCTACATCATGTCATCTTGCTTAAGGCGTTACTATGTTCTTATGAACTTAATACTCTAGATGCATGTTGGATAGCGGTCGATGTGTGGAGTAATAGTAGTAGATGCAGGCAGGAGTCGGTCTACTTGTCTCGGACGTGATGCCTATATACATGATCATACCTAGATATTCTCATAACTATGCTCAATTCTGTCAATTGCTCAACAATAATTTGTTCACCCACCGTAAAATACTTATGCTCTTGAGAGAAGCCACTAGTGAAACATATGGCCCCCGGGTCTATCTTCTATCATATTAATCTTCCAACACTTAGTTATTTTCATTACTTTTATTTTACTTTGCATCTTTATCATAAAAATACCAAAAATATTATCTTATCATATCTATCAGATCTCACTCTCGTAAGTGACCGTGTAGGGATTGACAACCCCTTATCGCGTTGGTTGGGAGGACTTATTTGTTTTGTGTAGGTGCGAGGGACTGGCGCGTAGCCTCCTACTGGATTGATACCTTGGTTCTCAAAAATTGAGGGAAATACTTACGCTACTTTGCTGCATCACCCTTTCCTCTTCAAGGGAAAACCAACGCAGTGCTCAAGAAGTAGCACCCCATGGCGATGGCGGAGATCGCCATGGAGGAGGCGGCGGAGAAGGATCAGGCGCCCACACCAGTGTAAGAACGGAGCTGCTGGTGTCCGGATTCACCTTCCTGCAAATGAGCAAGACTACAACCGAGTGCTGTTAGAGGTGGATGAGGAGCACCGGCTGGTGAAGGATCAGCTGGACGTGGAGCGCGCTTTCGATGTTGTCTTCGCGATCATGGTTGCGGCGTACCCAGGCATCGTCGATGAGCACCGGCTGGTGCTCGACTCCGTGCATAGCGTCCACACCATCCACCGCAGGTGCTGGCAACTCCATGTCAGGCGGAGCGCAACCACCTTTTTGACGAGCTGGAGGCGGAGGTTGAAGAGCGCCGGACCAGCACGGCGCCGATGCCAACATCGGCAGTTGCGCCTCGTTCGCACTGCCCCGCCACGACGATGAGGCAGGACCGTCCTGTGCTGGTATCGTCGACCTCACCTCCACCAGCGACGGTGATGACCAAACGGACTTCGACGAGGAGTAGATTTGTAGGTTGTTCTAAATGTTTATTTAGGGCCATTTTCTATGTAATATTTTTGAAAAATCAATGCACAAAATTGGTGCTCCTCGGTCACTTTTTGCCTCGGTTTGGATGGCATGTGACGCAATTGCTGTCCGGTGTCCACAAACACGTCTTGATCTGCTGGTAGATTTGGGAAATGCCAAATGAAGGCCGAGCTCTATGAAATCCTTAATTTTGAAAAATTAAAATTCATACTTTTATGTTTACTTTTATTTTGAAAAAAATACACGTATACCCAGAGACATAGCGTACATGCGTGCAAATTGTCATGATGAAATACATTTAAAATGAGGGCTACACACAGAAAACAAATGTGTGACTTTTACCCAAAAGGGTTTCACTCCGCTTTATATATAAAGCAAACCACCAGAGCCATAAGAATCAACAAATATTCACACCGCACACACACGCAAAGGTAGCCGACAGACAAGGTACGAAAGGGTTCTGCCAAGGGCACAACTCAACAAGCCCTTAAAAACAAAAATAAAGGCGGTAGCACAAGCCTCGAGAGGCTAATCTGGCTGAGGGGGTGGAGGAGGGAGCGACGACGCCAAACAAAGAGCCATCGCACGAAGATCTGCAATGATGATATTGATGGCGTCTCGGTCCCGAGGGCTGCTAAGCGACCGCCAAAGATGCAAATATCACATATTTTAAAAACCGCGTAGTAGCACGCGAAGAGACACATAATGGATCACAAGTTTATTGTGGACCGTCCAAAGCGTCCAAACGAGAACCCCAATGCCCAGCCATCTAATGTGCCGGACATGCTGGGGAGGCCTGGATTTTCGCAAAGAGGTTGGGGAAGCAACTCCAAAGGAATTGTGCGAACACGCACATGAAAGAAGATGTGATTTGAGTCCTCCTCTGTCCCACACAGGGGGCAAATCCCATCACCCGGGCCATTCTGTTTGAGAACCTCCATGTCGGAAGGAACCCGACCCCGAATCCACTGCCACATGAAGATCCGAATCTTCAGTGTGAGTCTAATCGCCTAGATATGGATTAGGGGCGTCGGGGCAGGAGCATCCACAATGGCCCGGTAAAAGGGATTTGATATGGAGAATCGGTCCGAGGGCTCCAAATGCTAGGAGATGCGGTCGCTCGGCTGATCTACGTTTGGAGACTGAAGCGCGATGCACTCAAGGAGGTCCTGTCAGGTGGCAAGTTTTGGGGCGCCAAATGGCCTCCGGAACGCGAGGCGCCCTAAATCAATAAGGGCCATATGGACGGAGATTCTATGTTCCACCGCGATGGCGAACAAGTCTCGAAATCGGACCACGAAGGGGCGATCCCCAACCCACTTGTCCAGACCCACCACGATGGAGGTCCCCGATGCAGAGGATCGGGAGCAGCTGAATGATGGACTGTCAGAACTGCGAGCCACCAAACCGCTGATAGAAGGCGAGCGGTTGCCCTCGCATATATTTGTTTAGGATGATGTCAAGCCGCCCTCCCCATTCGCAATCCGCCAGAACTATCGAGTCAGCAGGGCAATGTTCATGCATTTGGACGACATGATCCCGAGCCCACCCTGGTCAAAGGGCTTGCAAATGTCGGACCAGCGGACCATATGGTATTTTTGCTTATCATCATCTCCGGCCCAGAAAAATCGTGCCTGATACTTGGCGATCTCGTGTGGAGGAATGTGTGGCTTTTCAACCCATGTTTTTATTCATTGTACTACAGCTCATAATTAAAGGTATTTCATTATAAAAATTTACACACATATTTCTTGTACACGTGTATATTTTTAAGAATTTTATGAAGCTGAAAAGTTTAAATTTATTTTTTGAATAATTAAATTCTTCATGAAGCTCATCCTCCAAAATGCCCCTAATCGTGGAGAAGCTCTTAGACTAGCCACAATGAAGAGTAACATACACTAGTAACATACACGTATTCCTAGACTATGTTACTATCTTCATAGTGGGTAGTAACATAAGTGTGATAACATGCATAGTTTCATTTATTAGGTCATAGACTCATGTTGCATTGGGACATGTGATGTTACAGTAACTAACTAAGTTACTACTACTACCTCTCTCCTTATTAATTTATTGTCACATAAGCAAATTTACTGAGTTACACTCAATGTTACTGCTAAAGTTACTCCCACCGTGGCTAGTCTTATTAACCCTCGGGTTGACCCGCATGACCAAACTATCTATTTTGATGGAGACGCGAGCGCCGCCCCTCGAGGGCCTCTCCCGCCACCATAAGCAGGTGCACGCCCACCTCCTCCGCCGCGGCCACCCCTTTCCGCCGGCAGAGCACGCCGAACCTGACCGCGCCTACCTCTCCGTTCTGCGCGCCGCCACCGCCACGCCAGTCCTCGCGCTCGCCGCTTGCGCGTGCCTCCGCCGCGCCGGCCTGCCAGCGCCGGGGCGCCACGCGCTCCCTGCCCTGCTCCGCGCCGCCGCCCGCGCGCGCTGCGCCGACTCCGTGGGGCAGGCGCATGCCCTCGCCGTACGGGTCGGGGCCGAGGATGATGGGTTCATCGGGACCGCGCTGGTTGGCGCGTACGCGGCGTGCCGGCGCGTGGCCGACGCCCGCAGGATGTTCGAAGTAATGCCGGATCGGGATCTCGTCGCTTGGGGCGTCATGCTTGACAGGTACTAATGCGCATGCCCTAGTTTCTGTGCTTATTATTTGGTTGGAATTTCGATCATTTAGATCAATCCAATTTTGCTGCAATCTGGGTGCTTTGGTAATAGTTTGTCTAGCATTGTACCTCGTGTCATTTTTCTGCGTTTTCTTGCAAATATCTTTGCTGGGAAAATGGCACAAGTCGAGTTGGTACACCATGAACTTGAGTCAATAATATGCACGTTATTAACAACACGCAGGTCTGCTTCTTTGTTGGAGCAAGGTCCAACTAAATGTTCTACGGTTGAAACTATAATTAACTAGATCAGCACTTGATAAGTTTTTTCCTAGATCTTTAGCAGCATAACTTGATAACTTTCAAAGGAATGCAATTAGGTGACCTTTAAAAAGGTAGAACTTTCTCTGTCGATTGTTTGTATGATCTTCTTGAAAGTTGGAAATTGATGCATGCAATATTTAGGTTTCTTCAACTTATCTGTGTGCCGAGACTTTAGGGTCTTGTGACGACGTCTTTGTTTAAAGTGCCTCTGGAAAATATTATCCTTTTTTATTTGTTCATTTGCTTATGGTCTCCAGTTTGTATGCTTCTTAACTTTTCAGCAATTGTGTTTTTCACTGTAAACCATGATTGACCTCTCTAACATCATCCGGCAGTTATTGTCAGACTCAAGACTACAGAGAAGCATTGCTTCTACTCAATAAGCTGAAGAGATCAAGAATGGTGCCTGACCAAGTCATCCTTGCTACCGTTCTATCAGCCTGTGGTCATACACGACATTTAAGATCCGGAAAAGTCATCCACTCATACATACTGGTCTCAGACATTTTTATCGATGCCCGCCTCAGCAGTGCCCTCTTAAACATGTATGCTAATTGTGCGGATATGGAGATGGCCAAGAAGCTATACAGCGGGATGCAAAGGAAGGACATGATATCATCAACTGTCATGGTCCGTGGATATGCTAAGAATGGAAAAATCGATATTGCTCGCTCCATATTCAACTGTATGATGGAGAAGGATGTGGTATCTTGGAGTGCTATGATAGCAGGATATGCTGAAAATAACCAACCAAGTGAAGCGTTGATTTTGTTCAAAGATATGCAAGAGTGTGGTGTCTGTCCTGATGAAATTACCCTATTGAGCGTCATATCTGCATGTGCTAATATCTGTTCCCTTGACAAAGCCAGATGGATCCACTCGTTTGTTTTGAATAATGGGTTTTGTAAGATATTGTCCATTTGCAATGCTCTTATTAATATGTTCTCAAAATGTGGAAGTTTGACTCTTGCCTTGAACGTGTTCAATGCAATGCCTCGAAAGAATGTTATCACCTGGACAAGTATGATTTCTGCCTTTGCTATGCATGGTGATGGCAAATCTGCCTTAGCCCTTTTTGACAAGATGAAAAGTGAAGGGGTTGAACCTAATGGCGTGACATTTCTTGGTTTATTGTTTGCCTGTTGTCATGCTGGTTTAGTTGATGAAGGCCGTTCCTTGTTTGAATGTATGGTCCAGGAATACATGATTGAACCCAAGCATGAGCATTATGGCTGTATGGTGGATCTTATGGGAAAGGCTAAACTTCTGCAGGAAGCAGTTGATCTCATAAAGTCAATGCATGTAAGACCTAATGTGGCTGTTTGGGGATCTCTGTTAGCAGCCTGCTGGATGCATGGTGATCTTGAGCTCGGTGCATTTTCTGCAAGGAAAATTTTGGAGTTGGATCCCAATCACAATGGAGCATATGTGTTTTTATCGAACATGCACGCAAAATCTGGTGACTGGAACAATGCTCGAGAGGCAAGAGGAGTAATTGAAGGCCATAGGGTTTCGAAAGAAACAAGCTGCAGTCGGGTAGAGCTGAATGGGATAGTCCACGATTTTGGAGCTGGAGGTGAGAAACATCAGGAAAATCATAGGACCGTTCTAAAGTTTAGTGGGGTAATTTCTAAATGATGATGATCTCATAGTTATGGCTGCATCAGTTGTAGGAATTCGTTATTTAATCAAAGCTGAACAACAAGTCAGCTGGCTAATTTTGATTTTTCATAAAAGGAGGCTATGCAGCCCAGTTTGGTTAAGGGAAGACACAGGCAGGGCTTTGAAGAGATATTATTATGGATTGAGCTATCATATTTTCCTCCTGTCATACATTAAGTTAAGATGAAATAATTGGTGTGATTCCGCGCGAAAAAACTCCCTCTGTCAGGCTGAAGATAGTTCACTGTGCAGTAGAAGCTGAACTTCATGCCGTGTGAGTCATCGTCTGTAATGGGTCTTTCAGTTGTGTGAGCTGCCAGAACCTTTCTTAAGAACTTCGAATCCAGAAGCATGGGTATTTCACGGGGGAGCAGTAGTCAGACAACATTCCACAGCTCTCCACCATTGTAACATATTCTGGCAACACCTCACTTCTAAAATCATGGGCTTATTCAGGATTATTTGATGAGCAGAGTAGCAAACAGACTGCCCTCGGGGTGTGTCACCGACTTGGCGAGCTCTTGTGCGAGGAAGAGATGCCCTTAAGTTGGGTTTAGTATTCCCTCCCTTTCTTTTTAGTCTGCATATAAAGTTTGGTCAAAGTCAAGTTTTGTAAAGTTTGACTAACTTTATATTAAGAAATATTAACATTCACAATATGAAATCAATATTACCAGATGCGTCATGAAATATATTTTCATACTATATAGTTTTAGTATTGTAGTTGTTCATATATTTTCATATAAATTTGGTCAAACTTTATGTAGTTTGACTTTGACCAAATCTTATACGCGGAGTAAAAAGAAACGGAGGGAGTAAGAAGAGTTGGTAATGGATGCACAACCGAAGTTTGGCATGATAGATGGATGATGTGGTAGCATCTCTGAAACCTATGGGGTGCTGAACACTGGTTCAGTTTGTTTCTGATTTGATAGAGAAGAGTCAAATCAATGGAATGAAGAGCTAGAATGAGAGGTGTCTATGCCTCCTCATGCTGATCTCAGTCTCCAACTACCACGACCGCTGCGAGGCATTGATGATTTTCGGGCATGGGTGTGGGAGAAATATGGTCTTTTCTCAGTGAGACCAGTGTCCGACAACTGTTGGATAATGAACAGCATGAACAACAGCTGTCCAGTTTGTCATGTGGGGAAGATGTTTGGAATGCAGACTGGCAGTGACAATGAGCCTCTGTTCCATTCTCTTGTTAGGTTTGTGTCGGGGGTTGGATACGACATATGCCAATGGATGGCTTATCATGGTGGGGGTGAGTAGAACGTCGCCGGTGCCTGGAAACGGAATGAGGCGTAGACACGAACGCCGGCGAACTTTACCCAGGTTCGGGGCTCTCCTAGGAGATAACACCCCTAGTCCTGCTCTGCGGGGTCTCCGCATGATCACTAAGGCAAAAGTGGGTACAATGGTGCTCCTTGAGCTGTATCTGTGGGCAGGGGGAGACTAGGCCAGCTCTCCCTCTTCTCTGAGGTCTGGTCTAGTTCTAATGGATCGGAACCCTTTGCATGGGTGCTCTGGGGGGTTTATATAGGCCTACCCCCCAGGGGTACAATGGTAAACCGACTGGGCGCAGGACCCAGCCGTCCGTCTCTTCGCCTGCCGGCTTCTCTGCCGACTGCTGGGGCCCGCCGGCTGGTGGGCCCCGTTGACTGGTCTGGTACGGAGCCGACAGGCCGTACCCGCCGGTTGCGGGTCTTGCCGGTTGCCGATTACTGTAGCCGTGCTTTTAATGACGCAGACTTGGTCAAGGGGTCGTGGTTACAGCCCTGCTACCCGGCGGGCGATTACTGTAGCCACTCCCCGTCTCGTCTGGTTAATGGCGCGTGGGACCCGTGGGAGGGGTAGGCCGACTTCCGGGGGCCGGCTCCCTTCGGGTCCGACTGGTGGCGCTCTTGCCGTCTTCTGGACTCTCGCTGACCGGTAGGGCCCATCGTCCGTGGACCGTACGGACAGGCCGTCGTGGGTGCAGGACTCCGCCTACTGTTGCTGATGTCAGGGATGACACGACAACAGTGCCTCGCCGGACGGAGATCTCCGCTGGTACGACGCACTGTGGCCTAGCCATCCCATGAAAAGGGGAGGGAGTGGGCTTTACTGTGGCCACTCCCGTCCCGTCCCCCCTTATGAGGGCATGGGCTTTGTTGGTGTCGTGGGCCGACTCCCCGTGGCCGGCTTCTCTGAGAGCCGCCAGGCGGGAGTCGGCCCGTCTTGACCTCGCCTCCAGGACTCGGCCGCATGCGGGCAGTCGGCTGTTCCTTTAGCCGGCCTCTGGAAGGCGGCTCTCCATCCTGGTGTCTTGAGGGGCGCAGTCAGCCCCGATGTCTTGAAAGGTTCTGGGCCTCGGGTTAGCCTACCCGTGGCCCATTACTCCGACAGTAGTCCCCGAAGCTGATGAGGCGCCGCGGGCGATCAGCCAAGGAGCCTCAGCAGTTTCTTTCTCCGAGTGCTTAAGGTGAGACCTCGTTTGACTTCTGCCGGGCCGACTGGTAGGAGTCGGAGTCGCCTGACCTTTACTTGTCCAAAAATGCTTTCGAATCCCCCGGCAGGAACTCAGTAGCGTGTGAGCTAAGCTTCCTGACCGCCACCCACTCCGTGCCCGCCATGTGGCAACCAGTGGCTGGGTCAGCCCGCCTACCCATCCGCGAGATGGGACATGTCTGCAAGCGGGGCCCGCCACTACCATGCCTCGGCATGCGAGCGGATCCGTTGCGGCCGTGGGGGGCGGTTGAGGTTCCCACGGAATTATCGCGCGCAGTAACTTTGCGCGATAAATGTGGGGGCGTGGAGTAGTGGGCGCAGTAAATCCCATAACTGTCCCCTCGGCTTCGCAGCCCACTGGGCTATAAGTAGGGGGGAGGTGGGGAGGCGGCGAAGCACGCGCGTCCCACCTCCCCACTGCTTCTTCTTCTTCTCTCTCTCCGCCACACCTCAAGCTACGTCGAGCGCTGTGGCAGTCTGCTCACGATGAGCTCTTCCTCCGCCGTCACGCCCCCTACGGCGCATTCCGGCACCTGGGATGGTTCGGAGGTTCACAACGACCACGTCGATTTCCTCCGCAAGACGCGTCGGTTGCCCGGCGAGGACCTCGTGAGGGTCCGCCTCGCGCGGAGGGGAGAGATCTCGCCGGCGCCGTAGGAGGGCGAGCGGGTCGTCTTCCGCTCGCACTGCCTGCGCGGCCTGGGCCTGCCGGCGAGCAACTTCTTCCGCTCCTTCCTTGAGTTCTACGGACTCCAGCCTCACCACCTTACCCCCAACGCGATGGTGTTGTTGTCCTCCTTCGTGGCCCACCGAGTGCTCCCTCTTCAAAGTCGCCCCCACATGATCTGTCGGATGAGCGGGCACCGGGACCCGAGTCGGATGTGCACCAAGGAGATGCCTCGCGAGGAGGTGGCCTATATGGTGAATTATCTGGCGAGCTGCGACCTTCGAGAAGAGTGGCAATTCGGCAAGGAGCCGTATTCACGTGCCGCCCCTCCGCCTCAGGTGAGTCATTTTATTTTTTCTCTTTCTCTCTGACTTCTTCGTTGCTGAGTCCATTTTGTCCAATCTGACCAGCTGGCTTTGGTCAGAACCCCCCCTCCAGCCAGCAGCCGGCACCGCGGGGCCGGGCCGCGAATTCCTACCCGACCGGCCGGAGAGTGATGTTGACGACCCCGACCTGGGGGCGGCGGCCCTGGAGGGACGCCGAGGGAGGAGGCGGCGCAGCGGGCGGCTCGAGACTTGGGGACAGTCTCGAGGACTGGCCCGATAATGACGAGGAGGTCGTCCCATGCCACCAGCCAGGAGCCAGCCAGTCGGGCGCGGGCTCGTTAGCTCCGCCGGACGCACAAGGCGGAAGCAAGAAGCGCAGGGCCGGGGCGAGCCTATTTGGCAGCCGTCCGAAGAAGCCCAAGGGCTCAGCCGCGGCGACCAAGCGGGACGAGGCGGCCGCAAAGGCCAACCGCTTCCGCAAGGTGGTGAAGACGCCGCAGCTTGTTTCAGCGTAAGCACCACCTCCCCTCGTATCTTCGTATTTCTTTATTGAGTCTGTCTGAAATTTCTTTACTTTGTTTTCCGGCTTTAGGGCCCCTCTCTCTCTTGAGAAGTCGGCCGCCGGCTCCGTCGTGAAGTCGGCGGAGACCTCCTCCACCACCCGGCGGGTTGACCCCGCCGCCGACCTCCGGGAGGCGACGGAGCGGAACGCGCGGGAGGCGCGTGAGGAGCGGGAAGCCGCCCGCCTGAAGAAGGCGGAAGCCGACAAGGCGGAGGCCGCCGCTCTGAAGAAGCTGGCGGAAACTAAGGCCGCCGATGCGGAGAAGATGCGCACGGAAGAAGCCGCATGCCACCAGTCGGCAGTGTTTGTCGTCCCCTTGAACTCCGCACCGCCGCCACCGGAGTTCTCGGCGCAGACTAGGGAAGCCGGCGACGAGAACCCGGTCATGGAGAGGGATGCCGACGTCACCGCTACGCCGGAGGTCATTGCGCCGCCACCGCCACCCTCCGGAGGTGCGCCAGGCGGACAACCGGCGGATCCGCCAGTGCCGCCAACCGGAGGCGCGGCGGCGACGGGCCTGGCCCTCGAGGTTGGTATGCCGATGCGCCGCCGTCTCGCGAAGGCGGCCTCAGCGCCGCGTCCTCTGGATACCGGCGCTGCGAGCTCCTCGATCCCGGACACCGAGGTGTCGAGCGTCGCGCCCACCGGGTGGGTGCGGGGAGGCGGGACAGGCCCGTTGAACCGGGCGCTCTTGGATGTCCAAGCCAAGCTCCGGGCCGAGGGCGACGCCATCAAGGAGTGCACCAAGGCATACCTGGCGTCACGAACGGCCATCCGGGTACGCATCCTTTCTTTGCCTTGCTTCCTTGTTTTTTCTTTGTGGGGGCGCGCCAGCGCACCCACTGGGTGTAGTCCCCGAGTTTCGGGCCGGCTGCTGAGCAGGCGGCTCGGAACTCTAATCGGCGAGTTCCAAGTACCAACGCTTTTT